ACTTTAAATCAGTCTTTCCTTCAAGCACAACCCAAATTCCTCCATCCCCTCCAAAAGTTCGCAGGCCTCCGAGAACAACTTCTAATGCATCTGTCCACAACCACTCTGAGCTACAAAATTACCCATACCACTTCGAATCTGCAAACCTCCTCTAAGGACCCAATTGGAGTGAATTCCTTCTTCTAATAGTTTATTTCTAAAAAAAGCTATTCCTTCTCTTCCTTAAGTTTCACAAACACAAACACAATAACCCACCCATCCGATACAGTATCATTCATTTTATCCATTTATCCATTAACAATCAGTGTTGACTACACTGTATAGCACTTGAGGAAAGATTACCTTAACAGAAAGGGTTAGTTTTCATGGAGCCTGAGAAAAACAAACAGGAATCGAGGAGCAAGTGTTTGTTAGCATGTCCCAGCCCGGGCCAGAAGTGGGGTGGGGGTGGGGTGGCAATGGCCAGAAGACAGAAACATCTGTCATCCTGCAGTTTCATTTCTCATGGCCAGTTAACACCCTGAGTTTATGCATCAGCCTCTTCCAAGTTTGATTAGTAAGTCAGTCTCCCTGGACCCAATCAGCTCTGAGTGCCCTACAAAAACTGAATTTTGGTTCTATAAAACTGAGAACCAGATCCTAAAGCACAGTGATCCTGCCAAAGTAAAGCCACCTCCGGAATGACATATGTCTCTACTCTAAGTGCAACACCCATCACTGTACCTACTTGATGTATCGAATACTCCCTGATAGCTCCCCGTGGTTTACAGGATAAACTGCAAACTTCTTCATCTGCCTTTCACAGCTCCAACTCAACTTTCCAGCCTCATCTCCAGACAAACCAAGCCTCTTGTGAACTCCACATTTTCACACTCGGTTCTCTCTACCTCGAATGTCCTTTGCCCAATCTTGCCTGTAAAGTTCCTATTGTTTCTCCAGAGCCCAGTTCAAAAGTCAACTCCTCTCTGAAGCCTTCCCTACTTCCCCAGGTATTTAGTTCTCACTGCTCCCAACAGGTCTCTAACTTCGGGTGCATTAGAGAACTTCTTAAGTACACTGTAACTCATCCTTTTAAATATTTGACCACCTGTGGACACCCTGAGCTTTTTCAGGGAAGGAAGTCACTCTGTATCTTTAATTACTGTCAACAGTGTCAAAAATGACATAGGAGATCGATGATGAATGATTGATTACATGGAACATGGCATTATTTAGAGGAAAAAAGAGGGAACAAGCGGCTCGCAAAATTTAAGAATTATCTATATATTTAATTTCATCCAAAATGATCACACTATATTAAGAATGTGAAAAATTTTTAAATACTAATAGCAACTAATGTTTGAGCTAAGTGTTACAATATTTACATGGTTTTAGTCAATTCGATCCACCCAACAACCTTATGAAATAGGTCCTTTTTATCTGCCAATAATAGAGGAAAGCTTGAGGCTTTTCCAAACAGGAAACTGAGGCACAAAAGAGATTCAATAACTCAAGATCATTCAGTTATCAAGCAGGAGAAGCAAGATGAAAACTCCAGTAGTCCAGCTCTAGAGCCAACAGACTCTGGAATCAGGCAGACCTGGGTCTGAATGCAGATTATGTTACAAAGGTGGCTTTAGATAAGTCATGTATCCCCTCTGGGCTTGTTTTCTGTCCCCTCTGGGCTTGTTTCTGTCAAGGGGCAGGACAACCCCTTTCTCTTAGGGTGCCAAGAGGATTATATTAAACGATAGTATATAGAAAAGTCTCTCAAATTGATTGTCCCACCCAGCACGCGCTCCACAAATGTTAATTAATTTTCCCTCCCCTTCCCAAAAGCTGGGCAAAACAGAACCATTGAGGAAAAGGATCTCTCCCAGACTGCCTGAGGCTTTTCCAAGCAGATCAAGTAGTTAGGCCACTCGACACTGATAGCCTTGCCTCACTTACCCGCTTATCTCAAAGTTCATTCACCATACAGAGGCCAGAGACCTTTTAAAATGTAAATGTCATCATGTCACATACTTAAAACCCTTCAAAAGTTCCTAACAACACTGGGGATACAGTCCAAACTAAGGAGTGAAGGCATTCGGTCGCCAAGGTCCCCTGTGATCTGACCCACCTCTCCACAGGCTTATCTCCCCTCTCCTTTTCCCCCTCCAGCCACACAGGCCTCTTTCACTTCCTCTGACTCGCCAAGTTTTGTGCTGCTCCACACATGGTTAACTCTTAACCCTACTTCGAGTCTCAGCCTAAACGTTACTTCCTTCCCTGAGCCCCCCACCCAAATAAAGGCCCATTGCTCTCTCACCACGCTCTTCATCTTTCCTTGCACTCAGCACAATTTGAAATGATTAGTTTACCCCTTCCTTCGAAGTTTTATTCAAAAGACACCTTCTCAGGCTACTGGAATGTAAATTCGACCCCACGTTTTCCTTAGCATTTAACACTTTTGAACAAACTGTATTTCTTTCTTATTACATATTTTGTCTTTCCCCCTACAAAAACAAAAGTTCCACAGGGCAGTTATTTTTGCTTGCTTCTAAAACCGGTATTTAAAACAATGCCTAGCACATATTTATTGATAAATATTTGCCGCTGAATGAAATTTCAAGATTATTGGTTCATTCCTGGGCCTTCCTACCGGGCTATGAGCTCAAGTTAAAAAGTCTTCCTGGTTCACCTCTATTTCCAACAGCTTGGCCAGCACCTGGCACATAAGAAGTGCTCAGTAAAAATTTACCTAATGAATCAAAGTGGAAAAGTAGAAAATAGTCAAAATATGTGTGCAAGCACTCTAGTTGCTCCTCTCTTTCGCGGTGTAATGTACCTGGGAGTTTGAGGAAACAGACCCCTGAAATCCCAGCAAGCACCCACCAGGCCAAGCGTCTGTCTGTTCACATCCTGTATGCTCAGCCACATCGTACACACCAACAGATGCACGCACGGTAGAGGCCCTACACCAGCACAGTGCTCAAAGGCGAGTGGACTAACCCTAGGCCAAACAGCATCTAGCCCCAAGTCCCATTCTCCTACTGCCAGTCCTAGTCTAGGCAGGTCCTGGGTGCCAGACGTGCTTTCCTGGATGGGCCTGTGGGTCTATTCCAATCCAGGACTTTTAATGCCACCTCTGGCCTACTCGGAAAAAAAAAAGTAAAAATCCCTGAGCAGCTCCAATAAGCCTGGGGTTCTCAGAAGCAGGCATACCTAAGGTCGTACAGACCCTCCCCCTCACACACGCTGATCCAAGGCCAGGAGGCCATCTGTCCAGCAGACTCTGCTCCTCTGTCCTCCCTCGGGTCACATTGAGCCTTCCCCCCAGGTTGGCAGAAAGAGCCCCTGCAGAGAGACGGTTTCCACCCTGAGCAACAGGCCCGGTCGTCGCCCCCCGAGGACAGGACCCCTAACTCTGGGGCAGGGGTACCTGTCTGCTCGCGAGCAGAGCTCGCCCACGGTGAGAACTTGGGCGGAGGCGGGGGAGCGACTGAGGGGCGCCCGAAAGGGTCGATCCGCGAAGTGTCTGCCTCAGGACGGCGCCAGCTCCGCGGGCGGCGGGGACGGTCGGGCTGACAGGGCGTCCCGGCGGGGGAC